CATTACACTTGTCTTTTATATTTTGACTGAAAGAAATAAGTTATATAAAGGGAGTTGAAGCAGATAAATAAAACGAAATGATACTTTGTAGAATCAAAAAACCTACTTTTTGCTTTCACAATGATGCATTTCGCTGCTTGGAAACGCTCAAAGATTAATCGAACTACTGGATAAGTTATTTAATTATACTTTGATCTAAACCTAAACATTCAAATCAGTTGCATGCCTTTAAACCTTCAGTCGGGATAACTACAGTTGAGTTCTACAGACAAGCTGGAATTTTTCTAAGTCTGCTGTTGATTTTCCGGACTACAAAAATTCGATAAAGAAATGTTTTTAGAGCCGCTCACAAAGGGAACTGATTACTGTGACTAATATGACTTCTTGTGCACAAGAGGTGGCTATCGTATTTCAGTGGCCTAGTGGATATCACACTGGCGTCTGAAGCGATAGGTTCCGAGTTCTAGTTTTAGTGGAAGCAACATGGCTCCCTGGAAGTCAGGTACATCCAGCCGATGAGTCCCAACTAGGACGAAACGCTTCCTAAGTTCTGCTACCAACCACTTTACATCATTAATATGAAATTGAAATGCAAGCCATATCGAGACATTTATGCTGGAGTTTATATAACAATATAGATGGATCACATTCGGTCCAGTCAACGACGGAATAATACAAGCAACATAAATTAATTCATTGTATAATTTGTATTTTTACTTATGTAATCCGGCTTAGTATATTAGAACAAATAACAAAATAAACAAACATTTTGTATTATTCCTCAACGTTTCGACCTGCTAGGAAGATCCTTTTCAAGAGTATGAATTTGAAATTTAACTCGGTGCCCAAGTTTTTTCAAACCATCCAGTCCATTGTTGGTCAGGATACATTCAAAGATAAATTAATAGTTAATTTTCGAGTGATAATTCGTTATGAATTATGATAGATTTTATTTCAACAGAAGGTATAGCACTCACGACTGTACTGAATTATAAACTGTTTTGACTTGACTGTGCTCGTATATTTCGTTATTTTCAAGGAAGACAGTAAAACACTACACTAGTCAGGATTATGGAAAATATTCGGCAGCGATTAGTTAGGTATTGTAGCAAACCGGTCAGAGATACATTTTAAAACATGCTAATTGTTAAATGTTAGTTTTGATCAACGAAGCACTACTTAACAACCAAGAAATACTGAATTCAGCACTAACATCAGGATAAATGTCTGCATTATTTGCTAAAGCTTCAAAACTGTATGAGCATGCTGTGTCAAAATTGACATAGTCAAACATGTTGGTGTAAGACTTATTACACATTAAAAAAGCTCCAAGTATGTATGTGTGAATATATAAGATTTGAAACACAAAGCAACATCCGTAGCAAGAATTTATTAATAACGTGAAATGATTATGGTCTTTGAATAGTGTGATACAAAGTGCGGAATCTTCATCAAAAACATGGAACTCTTTGTTGAACATCCTGTGTCCTTTGAACGATTCGACTGAAAGATAACTCTAATATTTATTTCATAGTGGTAGCTGTAGGTACCGAAAGAGTTTAGACAGCTTAACTTACTCTACATTGCAACAATCTTGACTAATACCTGTTAACAGGATTCAATTTCTATTATCTAGAAAACCATTGTTAGCCACTTCAAGAGATTTCTGCAGTATTGATAAAATTAAGCAAAAGTGTGGTTCACGTCATAACAGCTTGATGCTATAACAGACATATAAGGACAGGCAAAATGAACTATAGCGTCTAAGTTAAATCAGATATTACCGATTTATCACCATTTCAATATAGAGATAGATAACTAAAAAATTTTAAGGAATCTTGCCTGTTGGATTAAGAAAATGGCTGTTAATTTGTATTTCATTTCTGAAACTCCCATTGACATCAACTAAATCAATAAAACGTTATCTTCATTGCTATAAAGTGACGCTTTATTAAAAAGTTTAGGAGAGATGATAAGATAGGCTGTATGCATAATATATTTGTCTAAAAGTTAGAAAATTAAAATATTACTTGCTTTATACAGGTTTATGGAAGCGAATATCATTCACTTGCCTTAAAAAAGTTACATTAAATTGAAACTTTTATCGAATCCCTTAGGGAAACTTTATGATTATTTTCTTATTCAAAAAAACTACTCAGGCAAGTATTTTGCCATAAGAACAACTATAGTGCTTTGTTTTTGCCTACTTCATTTCCTTACTTAGTTTGTTTACGTTTATTCTCATCAGGACACTGCAGCCCGATACTTAGTGACAAAACAAGATTATAGAACTTATATCTGCTGATATAAGAGGCACATATGCTTGAAACAACTATGCTGAAGCCTTGACAGTCTAATTTATCTAATTTCACTTCAGATACAAGATTTCGGCCGGTAGAGTCTACTTTCTTTAGTTCACTCAAGCAACAACTACTCGATCACCTGTGGAAATAGAACCAGTGTGTTACATAACTACAATATTTCATGCATGGAGTGTGAATGGGTTACTGTCATCTTTTGATTATACATTATTTAAACATAGCACTCTTTTCCAAAGTTTTGACACAAGAAAATTAGTCTACGAGTTTTCTTCATGAACAGTCTTTATTCTACTTATTGATTTCACTGCGAAACGTAAACAGAAAGGTAATGCATTTCGCTTATTGTTCAAGTGGTTCACCATAATCTTGTATGACTGCAGGTGTGATACTTTTGAGGAGCTACTTCTAAACGATAAAATGGTTAACTGCTAGTATTTACTTCCTACTTTGTATACTCACAGTAATGAAATGAACAATTATCTCTTCAGCTGTTAGCTGGAAGAGATCAAGGGACACACTAGTGAACATTTTCATATACTAGTGTTTCTGAAAGCATGAGTTTAGCATACGTATGTTTAAGTTTTAAGTTATTCGGAAGATGTATATATTTCTTTCTCTGGACTGCCTCATTTTTTTTTAGAAAAGACAGGTTGCACATAATTTTTAAGGCGAGAAATAATCTGCAGAATACGCTTTCAATGATGAAAAAAATCTTGTTAAATTGAGTTTTTTACTGGAGCTTGAGTATTATATACAAAAAATTGAAAACTTCTTGAGATTGCTGGTTATATCTCAGATATTACTCACATTTTTTCTGTAAGAAGGGATGAAGTGAGGAGAATATTTTGCCAAAATAAGTACCCCAAGGGAGGTCACCAATGACCTGAAATGACCTGCATGAATCATAATGGCAATAATTATTTTCATCTTGCAAGCATGTAATAATTAAGCAAGATAATTTGCTTGAATTAAATGAGTGTAAGATGAATGGTGTTAGTCTAAGTACCTGATGGAAACTGAAAATTTACCAAAATAGAAAACTTATCACTGTGCATAACTTTTCATCAAAAAACTTACATATAATACATTAATCCATTTCATAATGCACAGACTTTTTTACTAATATATTTAGTTCACGAACAGTTATATTTATTGCTAAAATTAGTGTTTTGTTAAACAGTTATTCAGTAAATGAAGAAAAACATACTGTTGAGATAATCATTAGCATAAAACCTATCTCACTGATCAAAATGGACTGCATAGAGTCATATAAGCCCCCTTATATTCTGCTTAAAATTAGTTGACGTTTTTTAAGTGGACAATAAAACTCGTTTCTTTTTAGAGTACAAACTATATGGCTGAAATTGGAAATGTCACGATGGTCTTTTGATTTGTGAGTAGGACAACATTGTTTATTGGATCAATATTTCATAGCTTTCTCAGTGATACTTTATCAATGTAAACGTTGTTTGAATGAGGTGAATTAAAGACAGCTAAGTTTTGTCAGCAGAGTTTGAACAAGGAACGTTTCAAAATGTATTTCAAGTTCAAAATGGTTGCAAATTTGTACGTTTTACCCGCACGGCAATCTTTTAGTTAGTGTGCTAAGTGTCCAAATAGAAACAATTAGCTGAATCGAAGTGAAGGGCTCTTCCATAGTCGCTCACTCTTAAAGAAACACGGTCAGTTAGGTACAGACAGTAGTCTTCACCATCATGTTTTGCATTTCTAGTTGGTTTTGAAAAACGTCATCCCATATGGCGTGTAGGTCCGGGTATATCTTTTTGGTAACTGGTTATACAAAGGGACTGCTAAACGACTAAATCTACTAAATAATGAATGTAACAATAAAATATTAGCTTAGAATAAGCAAATCGCTTAAGCTTCACAGAACAACTGACTAATCGAGAATTGAAATGGGTAAACACGCGATGTTTAAAACTTGAGTTCAACCGCTCGAAGAAGAGGGTTTCCACTTCACTTAATCAAATTTCTAGTTGACTGTGCTCAAAGCATCTTATTGCTTCAGATATTATCTGACTGTATTTGTGAATTGTATATATCTATGTTTTATTCGTTGGTAGGTAAGATAACATATCTGTTAACAGCTGATTTAAAGGTTTTGGGATTTCCTCTAGAATAGTAGTTGGGAATTTCGCAGTCAATGTACAAAACTTAACAGTTTTCTCATGTTAATGCTTGTATTGGATAATTTCAAATAGTGAACTACTAATTACCAATAAATATAATACCTTCACTGTTTCACTCAAAAAGTATACATGAGGCAAATTTCAATTTTTTTCATCTCATATGAACAGTGAATGCATACACTTTAGTGTAACCTGGATAATTTAGACTACTAACAACCACACTGATATCTTTTTTAGCCCTTTACTTAGTTTAAGATCTACTCATAAAGGATTGACTGAAGTCAGGATCATAAAAATGAAGTGATTTTCGAACATCTCTCTGGGCAAGAAGAAATTCATGCAAGGCAAAGTAAATACTTTTTTTCGCTGAATCGAAATAACTCACGTTTTAACTTATGGTGATATTAGTTTTACATTCATTCTGCGTTGACTTCATCCACGGCTCATTTCATTTAACCTTGAATTTTCAGTTAACAAATTTCCTAGCCGTCCTGCATCGTGCTACTAAAACGTTTGCAGATCTTTGACGATGAATCCAAAATACATTGTTCTTCTGGCATTTGTATATTCAACAAACATGTGTAATTTAGTTTCTAGCTATTCCACAAATGAGACACGATTCATCAGAACACGTAAAGGTGTGGCGGCTAATGTTGCCGCGTCAGCTTCGTCGAAGACCCAACGCGTTCCTATGTCGGCTCAAGTAACGACAAGCAGCCGGGTTCCAATATGTAAGTTTGAAGTAACTGAATAGTTTATGTGAGTTTTAATACACAAACTACCAAATGAATTCTGTATTATACCGCTATCATTTAGTCAGACAGAAAGGTTTAAACTTTTATCTAACATTTCATGCACTCTATTTTTATAACCACTGAGATTCAAACGGAAAAGCTTACTGACATTTTGGATAGTAATTTTGTTCCGTTCTCACTAACAGAAGACCAGATGGTTACTTTTATCCCAACTACATGACCACACAGATCCCAGGAATCAGAAGTGTGTATCAGCTTGATTTTGAAGCACAGTTTTTATACGACTGCACGAAAAGTGATTTTCGTTATGTCATGCAAAAGCTGAAAAAAGTATATTATCTTTCATCCAAATTACTCATCATTACTCCAGGACTGAGCAAAACTCAAAAGAAGATGCAATATTTTACCTTTATACTAACAAACACAATTCATTATAAGGCTTGTTCATTTGTTTTAAATATTAATTTACGCTAGTTCTTAAAATTAGCTTCACCAGCTTAAATGACCAAAATGACACCATCCGTTGAAAACGAGCTATATCCTGAAATCAAAAACAAAAGCTGAGCCGCCGATTGTCTCAATGATTCGTAACATAATTTTCATTTGGAAATATCAACTTAAAAACTACTACAAGCCTGTTAGTATTATCCGACTGATTTATTATACTTTGTGGCTTTTTAGAGAGTCGCAACTGTGAGTGAATAAGCAAATGAGGTCCATTTAATTGACCTATTTGAGAATAACAGCCACTATCAAACCTCTGGATAAGAAAAGAGGAGCCGAGACTTTGATACGGCCGCTCGCAAAACAATACCATTTTAATACGTGTGTTTGGAGATTCAGAACTGTTATCACGTGTGATTTCTGAATATAGGACCCATAACTTTTGTTTGCTAGACCAGTTTTACTTTTCAACCAAAGAAGCAAACGTACTGCCTTGAAATATTAACTGATTGGCAGATTTATTATTACTTTTGAAGTCCCAACTTCACAGATATCACAATGCTGTTTAGCAGCAAAATAGTGTGTAGCCCGGAATTCAGTGCCTTATTAGAGTTGGTTAACATACCTTCATTGTTACAACATTAGTATGCTGTAGAAAGTCTGACAGAAACTTCGCAAATGTGTTAATAATGGACCAAGTAATAGGCAACCAATGCTTGATTTCTGCAACTATGGGAAACAAAACTTTCATCTGGGTTCTTGAAGGTTAGTCTAATGTTAACTGGAAACCGAAAACATGTGCTCACAAAGAGAATAAAATATATGACAAACACTGATGGAAAATTGTCCCTTAGAATTTAGGAACTTGCATAAAGAGATCCATCAAGTAACTGGATATATATATATATATGTATATATATATATATATATATATATATATATATATATATGTATAAAGACGGTAGTTAGTTGTTAAGAAGAAATAATCTAAGTTGCAGAAACTTAAAAGACTTAAGGGTGTACGGTATTTTACATTGTGACATTTATTTCGGTTTTTATCCATGGTTAAATAAATATTTTTCTATTTCTTCAGCTTCATACGATGAGCCACCGCGTACAATAAGTGATTCTAATCTTTGGAGTGGCTCATTTACAGCGGAAGAAAAATTAGTGGCTCAACTGCTCAATAGAGGAAGTTTGACTGTCCGACCGAACGGACACATGAATCAGTCTACAAACCCTGTACATGTTGATATAACTTACAACGTCGTACAGATCCTTGGATTTGTAAGTATCATTTTCATCCTAAGTGGATGCTACAGTGTGTTGTTCTCGGTACTAATTATCATTCAAATTAACTTTTAAGCTAATGTTTCTTTTCCTATCTTATATGTGCTTTGAGGAATCATTGCGTTTGTTTAGGTGCAAATTCACTCAGTCTCATTATTTACAAGGAGCAAGATTACTTTTCGTATTATATCTTCAATTATTATACTCAGCTGGTAAGTTGAAGAACTACTTTAATAGATATGAAACAATAAGAACTTCAATACACTAATATGCACAAATCTGTCTAAGGGCTAAAATGAGTGAAATATATTCGTGAAGGAAATTCAGCAAAAGCTGAGCAAAATTAACCACTTGATTGTGTATCTAGTGAAATAACTTCAGTAAGATAGATACTGGATTAGCTACACAAATATTTTCACCAACACAGGGAAAACTAGTATTCTTATTTGTGGTCTCTTTGCTGGCACATGTTTGACTAACTTAGTTTCACACTCAAATGAGTAAAAACGCTACTCGTAATTGAAGTATGAAGTAATACTACATGCTTTAATTTAGAGAAATTCAATTCACGGAGGTTTAGTGAACTTTAAGTCAAACTCTCCCAGTTCATCATCTGTGAAAAACAAAATAGCGTAGTATTATAACGTTTACCTATATGCCGGAAACCATTTTCTTATGTAATTTATAATTTAATGCTTTCTGATGTAGCTCCTTAGACTAAAGGATTTGCTACTGGGTTATTTAAAAGCGTATTGTGATTCAATAACATGAATCTGGACATAAAATTAAAGCATTTACACAGCCTAACAACGTGTCCTTCATTCAAACAAAGTACATTTAGGATGCGTTAATAAAAGTGTAAGACATGGCCATGTAATAGTGAAACCAAGACATTAATATAAGACTAAAACGCAGGCTCTTTGGTAAAGTATAATTACATATTAGATTGTTTGTCCAGTATAGCATACAATAACACAGCAATATTTACTGCATGAGGTTCAGAGCAGAGTGTATTAGTTACATTCACATTGAAGAAATGAAGACAATCAAAGGAAAGTAAAACTTGGAGTGTTCGAAGGCGTATAACTACATACTACACATGTTTCCCTTTAGAATTCGAATATATAAGGTACAGTGACTGAAGCATAGTAGCATGGTACCATTTTATTTCACTGGCCTCTCATCAGTCACTTGCAAATGAAAACACATACCATATAAAAAATCAGTCTGAAAATACATTTTGTAGTTAAATAAAGTTAGGAAGGAGGGATAAACAGTGTACAATGATGAATAAAAACATCTAGACAAAATTGACAAGATATGCTTAGAAGTTTCATTGATATATCTGATTCAACATAGAATTACAGAAAAAAGAGTAACAAAGTGTTTTAGTATTAAGAACAAAAGGTTACTCATGATCAACCAGTAGGTTAGTATTATAATCAGTTTAACTTAGGTGTTAGATGATCACCAAGATTTTATACAAATGAAATGAGGTTCAGTCGAAGGGTCATGTCATCATATAAGAGGAAGATAAAAAATTTAGCTTATCAAGGCAAAGGAAAACTAATCATCACCTGTTTCTCAGCATAGTATTCCAATTTCCGTCGTTTGGCTGATACAGCCTCAGCGAACTTCACAAATTCTGTATTGCTCACCTTGATTACTGGAACATACATGTATACGTTTCCCTGTTTTGATCATAGTTGTCATCAGTTATGAAATTTCATGCCCATGTCCTAAATAAATGCGCTTAAAAAATATGGGACCAATAACAGTTATTTAGTTCTTATGTGATTCAGTCAGCATCCTTATAGATGTATTAATGTAGTTACAATCGACTTAGAAACTTAATAACGGCTTAAAAAACATTTGGCCGCCACTCGGAAGACAACCAACTCATAAGGTAGTCATATGTTTGGCTAAACTGAAATTTTATCGGATAGATTTTTAAGAATATTTATTTTCAGTAACTTTTCTAGGCTGTACAGTTACAAATAAAAGCAAGCACATTCATGCATCAGACAGATGTACTTAAATGAATCATTATCAGCTAAACTCTAAGATTTTGAAGCGTCATACACTAAACCACACAGCCCTATGATAGTAAAGGAGCTGAATGGAATCATTATCTCTGGATTTCTTTATTTCGTCACTGTTTTGTTCATAGTGATTTCATTAAACAACTGACACACTAAACTGATTACTGTTGCATCTGATAAAAACCTACATCCGTTTGATTGAATCTCTACTTACCTACAACGCTGACTGTTTCGATGGTGAAATAACTTCATAGTATGCCTGGCTTTGGCTGCTATATTTCACCTATTCTCATGGATATATAACTGTAGAGCCTGAAGAAGTTATTAAATACAATTGTACCCTAAAATTATTCTTGTTGTGAATAGTCTGTGGGGATCTTTAGATAGATTTTCATTTGCTAATAAACGATCGGAAGTCCTCATTCCATTTACTAGCAACGCTGATTATGTGTCAAACAGAAGTGGCACCAGGTGTTATTTATTGTTAAGTATTATTGAACAAAAAAAGGCAGTCTAAATAGATGTGATTAGATAATAATGCTATTCATTGAGGTATTGGTAATTTTTCCGAGAGAAGACATCCAAGCAACAGGTTTGTGGATTTATTCTGCAGACGCTTAATGAAATAGTCTTTTGACCCTATGGACTAAATTTTAAAAGAAAATTTCGTGCCAGTAACTCAGTTAGAAAAAACCAGTCATTTGTTTCTACCCTATGAAATTAACTTCAGAAAGTCTGATAACACACTCTGAGATGAGTAGTCTGAATATTCTCTACTGCCAAGACAAAAAGATGTGTTACGGATGGTGACGAATTCCTGTTCATAGGAGCCTAAGAATTTTTTTGACAAGTTCCCTTGGTCATTAAATTAAATACAACAAGTAGTACAGGTAATAACAAATGTTTCAGTTTTTAATAAAACTTTTTTGTCAGAACTATTCATGTGAAAAGCTTTATACAGCCTAACTTTCTGAAATGAATAACTGTCAGTCTGTTAAAAGCCCATTTGTTTAGTTTGCATAACTAATAGTTTTCATATTCTACATTTATTGGTATCAAAGATTTTACTGATTACGAAATGCAAAGTGAGCATTGTTGATATCGTTCCAATCATCCCAGATACTTTTTTTTATTTACACAAACAAACAGTAAAGAAGAGAATGAAATGATATTTATTGAGGTAGTTAGTCATTTACTTTCAAATAATTTTCATAAACCTAACTGATAGTCATAAAACAGAAATGATTTTCATTTCAATTTTTGATATTTTAGTCACAAGCAGAAGAAACCCTAAGCATCTCCGGGTGGTTTACAATGGTGAGTCTGTTAAAACAATATTAATCACTTAATGAAGGAGGATTTCCCAAAAAATTGTTAAATATAAACTTAAGTTACGTATTACTAATCTGCTGGCATCATTTTTATTTCTCGTTCCACAACTTTTTTAATATATTTCAGTTTATCTTTATTATATATATTATTTTTCGATTCAAATAAAATACGTGTGTTGCGGCGAATATTTTTTACCATCAGTCCACAGTCTGTTCATCTTCGATCCAAGTTGTCGCTGCCTGCTGCTGGCATCAGTATCCAATTTAACCGACGCTAGAAATATGAAGGATCTGGTAAACGTCTTTACTTCTGTGTGGACAGTTGATAAGTTTCAATAGTATAATATTCCATGTGTTAATTTTCATTGACTTCAGCCTGGTAAGTCTGAACTGCGTATTGTTTGATGAAAATGATATTTCTTAAGCCTATTGATTTCTGTTCAACAGGCGTTTCAGCTACCAAACAGATTTCTGGTTGTAAAGTCAGCCAGATAATGCTGAAGATGACACCCAGCACGATGAGGAAACATCGATGGCAAACTGTCAAAGCTCAAAGTACACCAAATAGTCATCATCTTCGTCTTGAGCAAAAAGTCATTTCATAATTTATTTCATCAGTTGCTGTACTGGGAGCAGTCTTTAGAAAAAAGTGTCTCAGAGAACAAGCTAAGTGGCTAAGAACTGTGAATATCACAGATCATTCAGTAAAGAGACAGTTTCAGTTCCGCTTATTTGATTGGACTGACATCTGTGTTTTCTGCCTGCTTTAGTGATTAAGTGCATCTTAATTAGTCTAGTTAATATCAACCAATGAACCAAATGGGAATGAAACCAAAATTTGGGTTCGAAATTTAAAACCTGATAGGACCGACACTTGGAATGAGTAGATCATTTGCGGTGATAATATAACCAGGATGGTCGGCAGAACCAACAATAAGTAGTTTTAAAATCAATCGCCAGTTAAACAAGGAAGTTGTTGTGAAATTAATTTTTGATTAGACGTACCATGTAAGAATCGCAAACTCAAAGCAAACACAACAGCGTTAGGTCAAGCACACAACTGGTAAGAGAAAACTGACTCGTTCCCATTGCATCCGCAAACTATAGCATTCCTTCATTATATTCATGTCTTATCGCATGAAATTTGAGTCTGTCTCTGCTCCCTGTTGGTATCCACCGTTTTGCTATGTAAGCTTAATGTAGCGCTGCAATAAATGAGCACAATTAAAATAATGCTGAAAATTACTCATTTCAGTCAGTCACGCTACGTAAAGCTTACATGGCAACATGCCGCATACTGGTAGTTGCCTCCGCTACCTAGTCTAACTAACATCTGTTCTTTCGTGTGTACCTATTTGCCAACAGTTTGCTGTTCGTTGACACATTGGACGGCAAACAGCCAAAATCTCTCAACGTCAACCTATGACGTTCTCCTGACTTAATATTGGAAACAAGAACGAACAAATAAAACCACTCTCATGCTTATGATTCTAATTAGAGTAGTGAAGGATTGATATTAAATTTTGTAAGGTGTACATATTCAATATGCACCCACAACTTTTCTTGTTTATCTTTAACTGAATCGTCGGAAGACAACCTGGGTGCTATCCAAAGGTTACTTACTATCTTACTCATGAATAAATCCAATTAACTGATTTTCTAAATTCTGATAAATTTTGACATTATCAAGTTAAAAAAGGAGAGAAATAAAGTTGTCAGAAATTGAATCATATCTTAGCAAGTGACTTTATGTGAAGAAGGCTTGAGACATGATGAATTTACATCATTGACATCAAAATTCTTATTTTATGATCTGTTCAAATATGACGTGTATCCCAAAAAGACTGTCACATATGAATCATAGCTTTGCTTAATTCTCAAACTAATATTTGTTCTTTCTACAAAATTGAGTAAATTACACACATGACTAAAATAAGTTTATGATATCATTATTCAGTGAATAGTAATGAAAGCTAACTCGTTTTAAATTCCAGAAATCTCAGCAGAAATATAAACTGGAAAACAGCTGAGGATATACTTCATCTCTAACTAACTTGAGATGATAATTTACTTGGTTGTGGCTGGCAGCAGAACCTAGGACGCACATTTCCTCCTATTTGGGACTCGTCAGCTGGATGTACTGGCACTCCAGTGAGTGGTATTTTTCCTAATGAGGCTCTAGCCTCGTGTGGATCGCTTCAAATGTCAAAGAATTACTCACTAGGCCAATCAGGTACGATAGCCACTTGCTTCCTGGATTCCTCTGCTAGCCACAACTAAGTAAATTATCATCATAAGTATTTAAGCAGTATCAACCATCCTCACAGGAGCCCATATGCCAATAGAGGTCAAACAATCTGATTTAGTAAAAACAATGGAGATTTATTAGCATATCAATAAATAGTAATAACTTGAGATAATTCTCAGTGAATGATTTGTCAGCCATAGTAATAGTGTAGCAAAATTTCATAGTACCGTCTGCTGGTAATTTGCAATGAGGATCAAGACATCAAGAAAGTATTGTCATTTCTCAACTCAGAATGAAATAGGATCTTATTTCCATGTATTTTTTTTCGATCTGACGTTGCCATCGCACAACAACGATCAGAGCAAAAGATAAACATAACGAAATTCACAATACAATAATGGTAATAAACACTCTACTCCAAACAATATTTGTGATACATTTTGAAATTCTCAGTCTGTGATATTCCAGATATGCGAAATGATAAGTTGATGATATCATCCTGCACTTTTTTGACATCTCAACGAGTTAAGCAAATTCGGAAGGAGCAATTTGGTGGAAAATATTAATTCGATGAAAAACTTTTTGGTGACCCAACATTTAAGTAGGCCATCCAGTTATTCAACGTTGCTGTTCAAGACGTACACCTATAGTGAAAACAAATAAACAAAACTGGTTTCACTGTGTATGCAATACTGATATGTTAAATATTTATGCGAAAATGTTAGATTAAAAGAAAAGCAATTGCTAAGAGAAAAAGGCAACATCTTTATGACCAGTGAATCCTTAGATGTTTACCAATGAAATGCAGTTTTGAAATTTGTTTTTGCTTAACTTTTGCGACCTTTAAAGCAAACTGATAAATTTCTGCTTGAAAAGACAATTTCATTACAGTATTTAGTTGTTGATTATGACGCATTTGCAAAAACAACTATCTCTTGTGTTTCATCTATAAAAGGAGGTAGTAAAACAAGTGTAAAACTTGTGAATTATGACAAATTGTATTAAAATTTTAGTTGGTGTATTGGATGTGCACCAGACAAATAAACAGCATTTCGAACATATTTTATCGTCCGCAACCACATCACTGATATCTAGTAAATACTATTGTTTCACAGTGATGCAATAAGTTTCGTCACCCAAGAGAGATTACAAGCACCTACTGCTCACTTTTCTCTGTAAGATGTCTGAAGACATCAGAGAGTCATCTTTTTTCCAGACAGAATCAAGTTGTGCTGCAAATCGCTCCCAACCATACTAAAAATCTATCTGCTTAACTGATGGCACATATTTACAGTTATCTACACTTAGAGATATAGAAATCATTCAAATCTTCAACTCTTCACTCATTCACGAGATAACTCTCTTTTCATTAGTCTCAGATCAGTATATGAATGGATTAAAGTGATTTTTTTTCTTTCGTAAACTAGGCATACTACATAAGTAAATGCACATGCAAGCGTACGCAGACAGATATTCTTTTCTTTGTTCATTCTGATTCGCTTAGTTTTATCTTTGTTGTTTTTTGTGTTTTTTTTCTATTTCACTCACTTGGTCTACTCTTCTTGGTAATTTTATTTTTCCTTTCTATTTATTTGTGTCATAAGATATACCTACTTTAATCAATCAACAATTCTTAAGCATCTTGGGTTGGGGAGAAAATTTCCCTCTTGCTTTTTGAATTGATAAGTCCATTACAAACTATGATAATCATTACTTAGGAATATTTGAGAGGCAGAAGTAATCAGGACTGAACTAGAAATAGGGAAAAAGGAATTAAACTTGATGGGTATAATTTAGGGAACAGGTCAAACACAATATCGTAGCTAGTTAATTAAGGGACAGGTTAACAACTGTCAAGAAAACAAATGCATTTTTTCGAACTGTATGCATCTGAGCGACAAAATGTAATCTCAACCATGAGATGATCGTTATTCATTGAAAAGGTGTATATTGTCAGTTGTTCAGCAGTTTGGTTTTTAGAGGCTGACCCAAATGGGCTTCCAACGACTAACACGCGATTGAAGAAACGGAATAGTAACAACATTATTTGTAAAATAGCAAACAAAGCATCAGATTTAGTGAACATGCAGTTACAAATCGTGTCATCGTTTCATTCTAGACAACATCATTAGCATTAACTCTGGAAGGAAGTTAGTGATAAGGTTTAATCAGCAATTTACTTAGTAGCAGTCCTGATACCTTGTGTATGGTCGATTGTTTATGCCAAGATCTTGTCGTCGTCTCCATGTTTGTTTTGATTGGCTATCCTCATGACCTGAAAATTGACCTTCTTGTTGTTTTTTCTTGGTTGATAGATTCCGTCAGTCAATGTGTCTGTTGATTGCTGACTGACCTGAATACCAAGCTTCTAAAAATTCCCTCACATTCTTATCGCTCACTCCCTTCTCAAAATTTGTGTTGATGATGTAACCTAGAAAGACAGTGAAAGCTCCGAGAATAAATAATCCAGAACAAAGAAAGCAACACCATCAAAACTGTCAGTTTTGTAAAACAATAATTTCTATTTCTTCAATAAAGATGCAGTAGCTTTACACTGTTCTCAGCAGCATCAGCTACTGTTTTTATCCCTACCTTTCTAATTAGGAAGATAAGTGTCTCCAGACAAGTGCAAGCGAGGAAACAGATATTATTAGCCCTAAAAATTCAAATCACATTGAATAAATATCAATCTTGGGACAACAAATTTATGTAGGAAGACTATCTCAAAAATAGGTAGTTTTAAAAAAAACAATAAAAAGGATTTTAATGCCAGGTTTTAAGTATTATACTTCTATCTTACTTTCATGGATTTTGTATTTTTTTCATTTCTGATCTATTAAAAATTAGAGATGGACTGACCCAAGATTAACATGGAGTCCGGAGGAATTTTCCGACATCCAGGAGGTCAGTTTGCCAACGACTAATTTATGGATACCAGATGTGGGTGTTATGAATGGTAAAGCATCCACTGATTTTGATTTCAGTGCAGGAGTAAGAGGACGTGTTACTGTGAACAAAGAGGGATCAATCACTTGGCTTCATGGTGCAGTTTTGGACGTCACCTGTCCATTAGATGTTTCATTTTTCCCTTTTGACTACCAAACATGCTTTCTAATTCTTGTTCCGTGGCAAAGTGGTGAACAACAATTGCTTTTGCAACCGTTTACCCATGGTTCGGCTGTAGATAACAGTTATTTACCTAATTCGAATGTTAGCGAGTGGGAGATTCAGTCAGTACACTTCGTGCGTAAAAAGTACCGTAGTGATCTCAATGTAACCTACCAATATGTGAGTATTGCTATCCACTTAAAACGCCAGCCGTTGTATTTTATTGTACTTGTCCTTGTGCCATTCTCCATGTTGTCTGCTCTTGCTTGTTTGATCTTCACTTTGGATGATACTGGAGATCGATTATCAGTTGCACTGTCTTTAGTTCTCAGCATGACTATGTATGTAGTTATTGTATCAACGAATGCTCCAAGGTCAATGAGAACTCTACCAGTTTTAGGTAAGTTTCAAGTTACAATTATGCTATCTATTGAAATAATCGCTTGGTTTGATTGTCTCATTAATGAAACTTGAATTGTTTTACGGAGTGACAAAACCCAGATGAACTTATCAGTCTTGTTTTGATTTAGTTAATGGATCATAGTTTGCGATACTGTGATTTATGCTTATCTTTATCTACCACCGGAAAGGCATTGACAACTTTGTAAACCAGGTAATACATTAAATCATAGCATGTATTTTCAGATCCCTTCAAATTCAGTACATATTTGACCTTTCAGTCAGCTACGATTTATCAAATTATTTAGATAAAGAAGTCGAAGGATAGTCGGACTTTTATCGAATATGTGATAACTCGTAATCACACCATAATGCGGAACAATAAAACGGTCATAAAGACCAAGCGTCATGTATAAAGTAACCTTAAGAATGCTCTGCAATATGTAATATTTGGCTATCGTTGTGAAAACAGCTGACAGTTTTGTTAGCATTTTTTTTTAAAATGGTGTAAAAGCATGATTATTTTAGTAAACCCACAGTTTCTTTGGTTCAAAGTTATAAATGCTGACAGATGTTGGAGTTTTCCAGAAAAAATAAGAATATCTGAAGTGTTATTTCAACTTTGTAGCAACACTTCATATGGCGGTGTACAAATTATGTCTATGACTAAAATTGAGAAAACAACATAAATTTTACTAAATTCTTTTTAAAAAATATTATAGGTATTTTCCTTCTGGATCAACTAGGCCTACTAAGCATCGCAACTATTCTTGCCGTAATGAACAATAAATTATATCAGTCAACGGAATTAGTTGATTGGCAAGACTTCATATATGCAATTTCGGGCACCGGTCAAGGTAAGCGCCGTACAAGCGATCAATATCCTGAAATTTATACGTCGACAGACATATAGATGATAATCATAATGACAATAATGGAAGGAATGAAAGTTCACGTAGTAACATGAGTAAACAAGAACCGAAATGTAAAACGTCATCACAGCACAGTGATCACTTATTTGGAAAAATCCCTCACGTCACCACAATTATCTTGGAAAGTACTGTAAGCCAGTACAACTTCTATCACGTAAAAATAACACTGATGCTACCAGCAATAATAACCATGATAAGAACAGACATTACATAAATCGTTATTTTCCAATGTATCACGGAGGCGGACAGTTCATGGATTACTGTGACTCAGAGCTTTTCCTAAATCCTACCAACCTCACATCAGACACCAGGTTTCGTGCTGCAGATGGTGATTCTGATAGCCCTATAGGACAAGCACGCAATGCGAAAAGACATCTATCTTCAAATACAACTAATCCTAACATAATTCATAACATAAATACCATCAATAACAAAAATCAAAATGATAATGACAATAATGGTAGGCAGAAACAAGATGTTCTGAGACAACATGATTACAAAATAGTACATTCAAAATTTCGTGATAATGATTTATTAAATAAGTCTTTCCATGCAATAAGAAACAAACACAAAACAAACACCTCAGAAAGATCTCCATGGATGGAGCACTTACCACTGTCATCTGAACAGATCACAAAACAAAGCTATCTGTCAACACCACCATATAAATATTCTTCACCATCAATAACTGAAAGTTCATCGAGTGAAGAAGATATTGACGATGACAATGATGAAAATGATGATGATGGTGACTGTGGGGATTTGAATAGCGATAACTCAGAAAGAATATTTCGGACGACTGTGACAGCAACTGCTGCAGCTGCCTTGGCAGCAACTCATGTTCTTGCGTCGAGTTATGGTGCAACTAATCAAAATCTGTCACATCTAAGGACTTGTGGTGGAAAATTGAACGCTAACACAAACAAAAATATTCCTATCGATACTCCCAATATCTCTGAATTATCTAAATCAAGGAAGTATTCAGGAAGTGCCTTACCAGTCAAAAGAGATCATGATCACCTCAAGTCAAAATTAGCTGCTCGAGCAGCCATAATGCAGCATTTGAAGCCGCAGCACAAACTTACAACATCAGCAAACAACAAGTTAAGAGACATCACGAATCCAGTTACTTTTACACATCGAAGTGCCGTAAACATTATGCAAAACGTTTATCTAAGTGCAACATTACTAATCATTATTCTGACCATTCCAACGAGCCTAATGTTTATCCATACCGAAAACTTGCTTCACGCTTAGACTGTATTCAAATGATAACGTATCTCTTCCTGTCCACTATAAATGCTATTGCTTGTCTGATACTAATGCCAAAATATTCACAAGATTCTATCCTCCAGCTCATCTAATCTCATAGTGAGAAATTTTCTCTTCAGTGATTTTTTCATTACTTTATGGATTAAAAGAGTTGTACCAGAGAATTTTACCAATTAGTTTATTTTATTTGCAAATGCTGCCAGTTTTACAGGTCGTATAGTTACTGGGAGTTATTGAAAACAATAAGAATATTGGTGAAATATTCGAAAAATTAGTTTTTAGTTAGACTTCACAAGCTAGCTATTATATAATCAATTTGTTCTGACCCATTGACTCAAAAATTGCATATTTTTTATGCGACTTAATAACCCCTTGTCCAACGCATAGGTTATCAGGGGTCTATTTTCCAGTGAATTCGATAATTAAGATTTAAAGACTGGATACCATTGAGTATTTCCATTTGGTCTTTCCAGTGTGAATGATTCATTTGAACTAGCTCTACTAATAATCTTGTCTTTAAATAGCTAATCAAATTAATTATTGACCCTATTCACTTCATTATTAATGTTGTGTTTGTCATTTTAAACTGGTTGTTCATTTCTCATCCTACATCTTTGACCTCACCATTTTTGTACACTAAAATGCATCACAGTAATTATATTCTGATACATTCTGTAGGCAGAAAAATTTATAATTTATTAGTATTACTATCACAAAATAAATAAATATATCTTCTCTTACACCTATTTTCTATGATAAAAAAAAATAAATAGTAAAAGGATTGTGATAGAAGCTTCATTCATCCCTTTATTCAATAGTCATACAGGTAAAACATACACAAACAAATGCAGGTGGAATGGACACTTGGAGTCGACTGATTGAATAAATAACGGCAGACTGGTTTGATCAGTTATCCATTTTCTGAATTTAGTCCTGTTTGTAACCCTTCATAATTAACTCGAAAAACAAATAATTAAACTGAATATGATATTACATCTTAATGGTAGCCAAACGTCTTCTATTATTAATTTATTAGGTTATGTAATTATCACAAAATTAGGATTCAGTGACTAGTCTCTGTTCAGTATATTGACAGTAATTCTTGATTAATTGAAATTGAAATTCTGTAGCAGATAATTGCTTAGAGAAATCGCCCGTAAAAGGCGTTTGAAAACAAGGTTACCTTGGATTATTTTCACTACACTTTGAGATAACTAATCATGAGGATGAAAAAATGTCTTGGGGTAATAATGAATAAAGTTAAAATGGTCTTGGGCATACAAATACATTTTATGTGAAAACGTTATAAAGTTTCATCAAAACTAATGAAATAGACAAGTGCAGAAAATGCTATGAAAATCAATTAGGTGATCAAGATGACGGAATATATAGGTTATTTTTCATACTGTGGATTTTCTGTATCACATATTTGCTTTGAAATTAAATAATTTTCTTGTAACACTTTTCCTATACTTCACAATATTTTGCTTACATCATTTAGGTTTTACGTAGGCTGTTTCATTATAAAAGGATTAAATATATTGTCATGCTAAATTTCACCTAAGTAATTCCTATTGTTCTTTTGCTGATTTGCATTCTTGGCTAAAACGATCTCCTGAAGTCATAACAATGGCTAGTTTTATCTCATATCACTACCAACGTATATTTTTAAACTTTCAGATCACAATCAGGTTGAATACAGTGCATTATTAACAAAGACTGAAGACAATCAGGTCGTCTGAAAGAATATCAGCAGGAAGTTACATCTCAGTTAAAGTGATTGTGCATCGAAACAAATTACTAAGCTTCCGACAAGCCTTGCTTCACATGTGCTTGAGAAACTTCAGCTCATTTTTATAAGTGATATTGTCCGATCACCTCACACAGTTGCTTATTTGAGACTCATTTAATGGGATGTAGCTAGATGAGTGTCATATCTTTCAAATTCATCTAAATTGACGTCCACCACACCATAATACTATTTCCGTCAAGCTTTTTGATAGCTTCTTCACAGCTTTCATATGTGACCAATGACATTCAACGTCTATGCTAGTTACCTTCATCCTCATTCTGCTTTGCAAATCCTAACTGTAGTCATGTACTTTAATCTGTTTGGATGAATTATTTTATTGTATATTTACAGTATTTTCTGAGTGGCATACTTATTAGTGTTAGGGTCAGTATGACATTTTTGAACACAGCACGGACTCCATAATCCACTTTAATGATCAAAAACCTTCAAGAGGAAACCTAATCTGAAAAATATTCTGAAAACTTGTGATTACCCGGAGACAAAGCTTAGGAAGCAACAGCTCAGAAAGTGATACAAGACAAGAGACAAGGTTAACATTTAAACGTTACCTATATTACTTTACTGCGATATTTCTTGACTATTTCTGTATAGTAACTCTGAATATTAATCTCTGCTTGGGTGAATGTGCTGTCATAAGATAAAGTAAACCAAAACGATCAATTATTATTCATATAGTCAGTATGCAGAACACCCAGAACATGTTGGTCATAAATAAATCCTTCTCTTCTACGCATACATATCTACTGACCTACACAGAAGTGATTCATGAAGTGTTTCAATCTGTTTGGTACTTTGATTTGTCGTAAAACACTATCATTTACTTCTGATGGTCAACCTTGAAGCAATAATTGAAGTCTATTCTATAATCGGTGTAATGTGACCACTGAACAACGTTATGAGGCACTGAGATGGATTGCGTTTTATGTCACAAGAAATATTTGTGAAAGTGCAGCGGCCAATATATAGAATGTTATACAACGCTAAAGAGATCATAGACTGTAAAGAAAACTTACTACTGAAACAGAATAACAAAACTTGCAAGTTCAATGGTTGTTTCCAAAATAAAAACACCAATATACACGCGTTTCTACCTAAATTGAAACATTGTCTCCGATAATTATTGAGAAAACTTAAATTTCCTAAACATAGGATTCATGTAGACTAGATTTTTTCACAAATTTACTGAAGGGTAAAATCTATTTGAAAACATCGTGTAGATGAGTAACTTGAAGCGTCATTCGACAGTTGAAAAGCATACAAACTTCTTATCCTTAATCTGGTCTAAAACCTACATAATTAATAAACTTAGTAGTCGTAAGTCCGAAATAATCAGTTATTAACAGAGACAGTCAGATGTGTTACAATGAACACTGTTCACGAGGCAATATCAAATTTCGTGCGAATAACCAAGATGTTAAGGTAAAAGTTTCCTCACGTAAGCCTAAAACACGATTCACTTCACACAAAATCTAGCAGGCTGTTGCAAATAAGTGTCATGGTTTACTGAATGAAAAGTTATATTATCTTCCAAGCGCTGAGAACAGTGCAGCTATCAAATTCTTTCACATCAGTCACTTTTCAACAAACCTGGTTACAGCATATCGACTACTGGTAACTGGCATGTTGTCATGTAAGCTTTATGTAGCGTGACTGATCTTATTGGTCATCAATCCATTCAAAGAGTGTGTGAAATGAACAATTTTGAGCGTAATTTTCATTATTCACTTCATTTAAATTAGTATTTTTAATCTGGAGTGCCACATTAAGCTTATAAGGCAACATGCCGAACACCGGTGGTGAGTATGTCACATGTGGTTTGTCGATAAGTTGTGATAGCAATAAATGACATTTCAGTAAAATTCGAAGCCAGATAATCCATCAGTATTTTCAACTTCAACATGAAACTGACAAGAGAGCCGTACATTTTCGTGAGGCTGAAAATTAAACCACAGGCGCAAAATCATTCAGATTTATATATAAATGAATATTTTGTTGATTTAATTGCTCAGTGGAAGCAACACATTTCCGTTTACACGTTTCAATCAACTCAAAGCAACTTTTAAAAAATTTCTATTATATCAGCATCATCGAAGATATAAATTTCATTCCAAATTGGAATGAAGAAAAGCAATAACAACTTTCTGATTCATCTGCAGCGGCTGAAGAAGATAAGACTTAGGTGAAGGAAACACTTAATAGATAAGTCAGTACTAAATAACAGCGTATTATTTAAGGAGTTTTTTAGCTAAACTATAAGAGATACCAATCAAAACGCCCTACGAAATAGTTGAGAAACTCTCTGCATTTACATTAAATGGTAGTAGTGATGGATCGTGGCTAGCAGTGAAGTCCGGGATGCACATTTCGTCCTATTTGGGACTCGTCAGCTGGATGTACCTGCTTCCCGGTGAGTGAAGTTGTTCTTATTGGGATTCAGACTCGGGAGCGATCGCTTCAAACGCCAGAGCGTTATACACTACATCACCGAGCCACGATAGCCACTTCTTGTGCGACGAGTGTGGTTTTTAATATATGACTGTTTTTTATATGATACCGTCATTGATTGGACCTAACTGATCGGTCTCTATTGGCATATCGGATCCTGTGCGGATACTTCTATATTACCTGTGCTCTTATGATGGTAGTGATGGATCGTGGCTGGCAGTGAAGTTCAGGGTATACAGTTCGTCCTATTTGAGACTCGTTAGCTGGATGTGCCTGCTTCCCAGTGAGTGATATTGTTCCCATTACGATCGCTCCCGAGTCTGAATCCCAATAGGAACAACTTCACTCACCGGGAAGCAGGTACATCCAGCTGACGAGTAATAAATAGGACGAACTGCACATCCTGGATTTCACTGCTAGCCACGATCCATCATTACTATCATAAGAGCACAGGTAATATCGAGGCATCCGTACGGGATCCCATATGCCAATAGAGACCGATCAATTCGGTCCAATCAACGATGTTATGATATAAAAACAATCATACTATTTACATTAAATTCATAAATTTCCTAGTTTATTTGTGTCAATAACTAACCGGAGAAATTTATTTCTACAAACATCTAATGCCTAAACAACAATAATCGATAGAGTACTGCAAAAACGAGAACAAGAACACCTGGACTGCCATGCATGGTAACAAAGTTTATTCACAGAAAAGGTTATGAAAAAAGACACCCGAAATCAAAAAGTTAACGAGATTAGGAAGGGAAGCGAGACAAGTTAAAAAGAAAAGTCATGACGAACGGTGATTTAAATTTATCGGCTAAAGATGTAACTCTAAAGTCAATGTAAGCATGATGACCGCAAATAGTATGAATAAGAGACAAACGAAAAGCAAAAATACTCCGGGGACTGGAAAGGAAATAAAATATTAAACACAGGCATAAAGCAGATAAGCAGATACAAAGAAAGACAATGTTCAACACAAGCCTATGCATCCAATTGAAACACAAAATACGTCATAGTATTATACTCAAAAGTCACTTCAGCACAAAGAAAAGCACCATTTCCAGAAACAGAAAAGATGAATGATCATATCCAAAATACATAAAATCTTCAAACATGAAGACTCTTAAGACGAAAACAACATAAGCACAAGAAACGTGTAGCAGGCAGAAATGAAGAAACGAAATTTATATGAAATGCAGTGTTTAAGTACAAAACAAATTAAAAGAACATAATAAAGAGTAAATCACACAACATATGATACCATGAAATTGTATATACTAGTTGGAAACATCATTACGAGGATATCTTCGAAAACTGTATTTTCTAAGTATAGTTCAATGAACATAAATAGAAAATCTTGAAGCCTGTCACACAGACAACGTATGTAGAACAGTCTCTTCAAAAGACCAACAGTTCTTGAGTATTCAGCCATGTATCAAGGGAAATTCAAACAAGAATGCCTAACTATTTTGTTCATTTCTTCATGAGAAAGATGATGAAACTGTAGTAACTTGCACCGAGATGGGTTTCGTGAAGTTCTCATGAAAAACAGTAGCTGGCGGTATCCAGCATTCTGGAAGCTAACAAGTGGCAACGCATATTCTCTGCAGGACTTTTCTGTCCCACTCTGATAACCATATGAGGGGGATAATGAGTAATGCTGACAATCATGGAAGCAGAAGAAGGCGCTCATAAAGTCAATCTTCGTTTCCAGTGGTTATTCTGTTGATTTCAGTTCTTTGAAAACATTCTATTTTTGACTTAGGCTACAAAAAATCACACAAACGAATTCTGTAGAATTAGCCGCAACAGGATGTTCCAGTAGTAAACAGGTTGTTGAAACAGATGCATACGGTTACTCGTCACATTCAAGTGGCCGTCTAGTTAAAATATCTTCAACTACACATACACCAGAATAGATTTCATCTTGACTAGACGGGATTGCTGTGGCCATTCACCTTCAATGCTACAATATGCATATGCAGAAAATGTGAAGCTAAAGCAAACGTGATCAACAATTTAGACTCTAAGCATCAAACTTGACTTCTGTAAAACTCAGGAATTCCATAAAGTCATTGAACTGTGGAATTTCACAGATGAGCAGATATGTTCTCATTTCATTGGCTCACAAAGCAAAGGCCGAAAATTCAGTCGCATAATAGCCACAAATTACACATTCATATATCGGATTTCAAAAAGATGAATGTTAGGCACAGATATTGGCCTCCTAAATAACAAATCTTGTCTCCTGTCAGATGAAAATTCATAAGCACCCATAGGAAAAGCTGGAACAATAGACTACATCGACATATATATATATATATATATATATATATATATATATATATATATCAGTTCACATGCTCCTGTTGGATCGAATACATCGACCATAACATGCATCAGACAGTGAAACGTGCTCATGAACTCTATATGGCCTGGCTCACATGGAGAGAATGGAAACATTTTCAGTTCACTAACAGAACGCTCAGTCAACTCATGGCACTCAACTCCTTCTTATAAGTCTTTCAAAACTTTGCACAAAGTAGGACCGAGCCACTCGAAAGAAGTGAGGTTAAAACATCCGAGCATAGCTGAAACATTGGTGGTTCAAAAGTTCAAACCATCATTGTGCATTCGAAATATGTGTGTACAACCTCTCTCTTGTCATAACCATCTTGGAGGGTAGAACACCCCCAGGAAGTCCACTTGTCATGTAATTAGATTTTATTTTGTAACTATTCGTTTGTTCGACTATTTCGAACAGTCATATGTATTTCGTGTCTTCCGTGGATTGCTTCGCAATTTATGTGAAATTTTGACAGGAAGTCACTTAGGAACTTTCTCTCCTTTCTACCATTTATTCACGAGTGTACAGCTAGGAGGATGCGTTCTTCGAAAAGAAAATTCTTTCTTCGCTTCAACCGTCTCCTCTCTTTTTCTATGAAAAAATAAGCTCGTCTCGATACATAAATAACAGTTATCACCAAATTCAACTGCTGCAATTGGCCCAGTTCTAACACTTGTGTAAACTGTCTTGTTTTGAATTGGAGACTATTCACAGACCGTTAGTAATGTGGTGATATTCGTAAGCGTAACTTGAAACAGTGTATTATAATGCGAAGACGAAATAACAGTGGAGTGGAGAAACTGTGATATGTGCGACTTGAGCAGGTGTGAAACTTGTTATAATGACAACAAGTTGGTAGGTTGACCGCACATTGAGCTGCTGATTGAATTGACTACTTTAGTTCATGAATTCGATATTATGATTGGTTGACCCAATACAACTGACGGTTGACCATCTCACGATCTCAGTGAATGAAACTGAACAGTAATCCCTTCACTTCTCTTTTTATTTTGCAGTGAGTGCAATCAGAAGCATTTTCTCAATCTTTCGATAATACATTGCTAGTACGTTTTAGGCAGCAAATTTTATGTTCAAACATCTATTCCTAGTAATTTTTGTAGATATAGAAGTATGTTTGAATGCAAATCAACAACACACAAATACGATATCGGATAGGAGCTGTAGACGAATGCACCTTCAGATGAGGAACCGTGATGGTGGATGACATGTATTGTTTCTGCATTGCTACTGATCTTAGTGTCCCAAAATAAACGTTTGTATTCTTATAAGTTGCAGTAAACTACATCGTGTTTGAAACTACTTTAAGTCTACTGTTTAGAAAACATACTGACATCCAATGCCTCCATTTCAAGTGTGTGTTCAATCAGTTTATGTTGCTACTACTATGCATCCTCTAATTTAGTGATTAGCGCAGAAGTATTTGAAAATCCATGTTTGAATTAATTATCATTAAATTCCAGTGGCAATAAGACATGACTTTTAAATACCTATAGGAAGAGTCATTTGTGCTGTGAAATTGTTGACGTGTCCCAAACAGGCCTGAGCCATCGGTTTAAGGTGATAATGATTTTGTGACACCGAGAAACTTTGGAATTATTCTACTGCATTGGTTTCCCTGACGCGTGAAAACAGGTCCAATGTAATTGTCTGGATACAGGTTCATTTTTAGAAAGTTAAACTAGACTACTCGTGAGTAGTACAAACAAATACTAATACTTTCCACGGACTAACTGGACATTACACGTGAAATTCCTGTGCTGCCAAAGGTATGCAATTTACAAAAAAAATTCAGCATACATGATGATAACAACATAAAATAATTGAACATACACTTGAAATGGAGGCATTGGATGTCAGTATGTTTTCTAAACAGTAGACTTAAAGTAGTTTCAAACACGATGTAGTTTACTGCAACTTATAAGAATACAAACGTTTATTTTGGGACACTAAGATCAGTAGCAATGCAGAAACAATACATGTCATCCACCATCACGGTTCCTCATCTGAAGGTGCATTCGTCTACAGCTCCTATCCGATATCGTATTTGTGTGTTGTTGATTTGCATTCAAACATACTTCTATATCTACAAAAATTACTAGGAATAGATGTTTGAACATAAAATTTGCTGCCTAAAACGTACTAGCAATGTATTATCGAAAGATTGAGAAAATGCTTCTGATTAAACTCACTTCGATCACTGAATCAATGTGGAAACTTTGGAAAGGTTGTCGCAACTATGGAATTGCTACTTGAATTTTTTTTTTCTTACACAACTATGTGTGAGTATTATGGTTGAATGAGAAAATGGATACATCGAGTCTTACGCACAATGTGTGATTATTCACGGAAGAGATATGCCTATCGAAAAAGTAACGATTGTTTACCTCATCAAATTTAAGTGTGCTTTTCTTCAGAGTTATAAGTTTTAGGTGAAGCATAAAGATGTTCTGAACATATAAAAATGTCAGGAGCCACAATCATTAGGGAACTGAGATGTAATGCTGTAGCTCTGTTTTTCTTGTTGAATGTGATGAGAACCCATCGGCCGCAATCGAAGGTGCAGGAAGGCATATTCTTTAAAACTCAATTATTTCCGCTGTTTTTTCTATGAAAATTTGTTCTCTACCCGACGCTTTGAGAGTTTTTTCATAAGTTTTCACTAAACCAACTGTGAGACATTGTCACAATTAACGGTTTTTGAAGTTTGAGACCAGTAAGAGTATCAATTAGCAGAAGTAATCTGCTTGCATTCTGTTGGACAACATTATCCTTTCAAGGCGTGAGTAATCTCTGAATGATTAAGAGACTTGTATGGATCTGATGACTTATTTCAGGCAAAAAGGCAAACGATTTTTTATCTGACTGCTGTTACTCACAGCTGAGCTGACAAATTTCACGTGAAGTTAGAGTTGCTTATAGTAGGAATAAAGTAGTTAGGTGCTCAAATACGATGCATTTTACCTCACAAAATATATCGTTTATTTGAATTCAGTTGCATTTCTTTTTATAGCACAGTCTGCTTAACGACCAAGTATTGTAGCAGGCAACTTCAAAGTGGCGTCTTGTAAAGTTTAGTGTAGATCACATAAGTTTAATTTCTATTTAATGTTCGTGCGCTATCATATGATGAACCCAGATAGAGTACGCAGATTCGTTAGAGGCTGACAAATCAATTCATGGTCATATCCAGGAATGATTCGGGATTGTTAGCTACATTTGGCTTGAAGATGAAAGAAATGCAAGGTGATGGTTTAGGCACTTTTGTGGGAAAAAGAAATCAATGTCAGAACTCACTGCTATTCTAATAAATTTTAAGTCCCAAAAACCGGTTCTTGTACTTATGCATGAATCGATCCAAACGAAATCTACACTTTATTATTTGATGAGCTTGTTAGTTTACATTTATTATATGTGTTGATAATTTTGTTATATTGAAGGTGTATACTGTTAACCAAATGGTGAAATACAATAAGAAGCAAAATGGTATCATAAATTTTTCCTTCATAACTATCTAAACAATGCAGTCAAAACAGGCCTTGCAAATTTATTTCAGCTACATATAACCTTAGAAAGTGTAGTCAGTATAGTAAAGAAATGCATCGATTTCAAATGTACGATCTCGGTAAGTACCATTCAACTCTCTTCGTGACATCAAATCATCACGCTAGGAATACTGAGTTAACTAAGGAAAATATAGTCTAAGTCAAAGTAATACCATCTTAAAACCTGAAGGTAGGGTGTTATCTAGTGTCGGACTGGAACCATGTGGAAGTAAAATGCAAAATGAAAAGTGAGGATAGAGGAAATTGGTGTTAAAAACAGAGGTAACAAAAGCAAACGTGCTAACACTACCACTATCTTTATCATCATTATTATTGCTAGTACTACTACTACTACTACTACTGCTATTGCTACTGCCATTGCTACGACTAATAATAATGACAATGATAATAATGTTGGTAAAATTGATAATTACGGAATTTCATGCATTTAAGTCTTTTGATAAGTTTAGACAAATCAAGAAGTTCTAGATTTGCGGAATAATAATATCATTTTATCTGAAGAATGCCACTCAGCTACATGTAGTCGTAAAGTACAACGGTTACCATTCGTGATCATGTTATGTGCTATTACATTTTTGGGGGTATTCAGTCTCTTCATACATATTTATGTTGCAACATGGTCAGAAATTATTGCAGGAATCAGTGTTTCTCTGTTATTTCGATGAGAATACCTCGAATTAATGAACACAGTTTGAGTTGACGACGTTCACTAAACTGTTGGTGAATGCATTTTCCTGACCTATTTCATGCGCTGTATGGCGGACCCAATGTATATGTCGATATATTTGACTGCCACTGACTACCTACATACGATTTTCTGTCTAATAATCTTTTTCTTATTTTTTTTCGTCAGTCATCGACACTCAGGTGTTAATTCATCTAAAAACGTGCTATCTCTTTTCCAGTTTGTCTTTTCATCCTCTGCACTGACTTTTACAAAGAATGAGGGCTGGTCATGCTGACAGTTTGTGACGTCTCACTTTGAAGATTTCGTGGATGATAGATGGGATTACGTAATATAGCTGTGTTTCGTGGTCGGATGGTGGTTGAACGTGGATAACAAAAGAACTTGAAACAGTTACCTCTAGCTCACAGGTATGCTGCTCTACCGACTGATCTACAAAACGCAGCTGCCAGCTATATCTTATGGTTATCTCTATCCCGGAGATGTTTATTGCATCAATTACACCCACAAGACCGTAAGACCTGAATCCCGATCAACCAGCTACTTGTGATTTTGAGAAGTTTATTCAGACATTTCTTGCAGCCGCTTGCATTTCCCATCTACAACCATTAGACATTTGATGTTTCCAAACAGCTTTGCAGTATAGATTACTAATGTGATATAGCAACTAATTTGGATGTCTTCTCAGTGTGTTAGCCGATGAGTAGTGTATACTGCTCGGGTGGACTTTGCATATAAAAGCTAGCAATCAAACAGAAGTGAGAATACAACAGTTCTGAATGTCATCATGTGAATGTGTGATGATTTTTGAAGTAGCTTCTTTCTAGAACAGGATATACCACTAAGAATTGATTCATAGACTGAGCTTATGAGAGTATATAAGTATCAGTGAAAGAGCAGTATGAATTACATTAGAAGGTCTCAGTTTGCAAAGTGAATTCAGAAGAACAATCTCGAGGGATGACACAGTTAAAAGATAATGAACAACGGAAAGAAGCAAACTGATTAGCACTGTTTATTTGACTAGAAATATATCCTTCAGCAATCTAGTCTAATATACTTGACTGATCGATTTGCTTCGAAAAGATGCAAATTAACTTTTGAGAGTAATGAGTGGCTGAAAAGTTTTGTTACAGTGAATAAAAGCCAACTGTGATACTTACAGACCCGTCGGCTGATTCCTGATCTGCGTATTACCTTCGATTCATTATATGTTATTCGAAGGTCGTATTGTATCCTCATTCACCGTGATCATATTTTTATCTAAGTGGCAGGCTAATTCTGTTAATGTTCTCGCTATTGTACGAATACTTGGTTAGAGTTATTGTTGAAAAATAAATACAGAAGTGAAGGGATTACTGTTCAGTTTCATTCACTGAGATCGTGAGATGGTCAACCGTCAGTTGTATTGGGTCAACCAATCATAATATCGAATTCATGAACTAAAGTAGTCAATTCAATCAGCAGCTCAATGTGCGGTCAACCTACCAACTTGTTGTCATTATAACAAGTTTCACACCTGCTCAAGTCGCACATATCACAGTTTCTCCACTCCACTGTTATTTCGTCTTCGCATTATAATACACTGTTTCAAGTTACGCTTACGAATATCACCACATTACTAACGGTCTGTGAATAGTCTCCAATTCAAAACAAGACAGTTTACACAAGTGTTAGAACTGGGCCAATTGCAGCAGTTGAATTTGGTGATAACTGTTATTTATGTATCGAGACGAGCTTATTTTTTCATAGAAAAAGAGAGGAGACGGTTGAAGCGAAGAAAGAATTTTCTTTTCGAAGAACGCATCCTCCTAGCTGTACACTCGTGAATAAATGGTAGAAAGGAGAGAAAGTTCCTAAGTGACTTCCTGTCAAAATTTCACATAATTGCGAAGCAATCCACGGAAGACACGAAATACATATGACTGTTCGAAATAGTCGAACAAACGAATAGTTACAAAATAAAATCTAATTACATGACAAGTGGACTTCCTGGGGGTGTTCTACCCTCCAAGATGGTTATGACAAGAGAGAGGTTGTACACACATATTTCGAATGCACAATGATGGTTTGAACTTTTGAACCACCAATGTTTCAGCTATGCTCGGATGTTTTAACCTCACTTCTTTCGAGTGGCTCGGTCCTACTTTGTGCAAAGTTTTGAAAGACTTATAAGAAGGAGTTGAGTGCCATGAGTTGACTGAGCGTTCTGTTAGTGAACTGAAAATGTTTCCATTCTCTCCATGTGAGCCAGGCCATATAGAGTTCATGAGCACGTTTCACTGTCTGATGCATGTTATGGTCGATGTATTCGATCCAACAGGAGCATGTGAACTGACATATATATATATATATATATATATATATCCTGAAAATTGTTTTTTTCATAAACTATGAAATTATCATACTAACGAATAGCGTTTGATTATGTGGCAGTTTGAACTGTATTAAAATTCTGTATTCAATAAATAGTATATCATTGCATCGTCTAATGCATTCTAACTACTTCAGTGAAACTGGTTACTTGTCTGTATAATTAAGCAAGTTAACTAACATATTTCATATTATTAGCACAGCTTTCACCTCCATTTATCGTACACTCTGTAATCCTACTCATGCTGCGTTAGTTTGTCTGTTGTACACAGCAGAAGCCTGCAGAATTCATTAGATACAGCCAAAACCGCGGGCAAATACTCGTTAGATCTCTTTTTTCATTTTGACCACGTGCATAACGTTTCTTAACATGCGTAAGTCCTGCACATCGGCTTCTTCACAGTCTCGTCTAGTAATTACTATTCCGAAAAAATTGTCATAAAGGTCCCCTTTATTATAATCATTATCTTTTGTATTTAAAGTAGCCTAATATATCAGTGTAATGTCACTTACCATAATCTAACGTAAAAGCTATATTTATTAGCCGTTGTTTGTGGGAATTCTCATCATAAACTTATATCATATGAAGAGCTACTGAATGCAAATGAATTTACAGCTTGAGTCAATGCATTCTACAAACCTCCTCAGTAAAACACTTTTATTTGACCGAACTAATAGATTTCGTAGCCCCATCTGACCACGTCATCACTGAATTACGCAGTGAAATTTATTCGTCGTCGTCATTGATTTTGTCAAGCAGGATAACCCCACTGTTTTGATCTTGGACAAGAGAAATATGCACTACTCTACAGCTATGAGAAATTTTGAAGATGTCCAAAGTTGTCAGAAATATTTTCCATCCCATTAACTCTTGATGGAATCTTCATTCCCGCTACTCAAGTTTTGTAAATGCTGTGAGTAGAAATCAAAATATGAAATGTTCAGTAGACCCTAAAATCTAAAAAGTATATTATAATGTTTGATTAGAAAAAGACAACACGTATTTGTAAGCAACGAAAACAACTGACAAGAATCTGGAAAGAGTTTGAAGTAATAATGTTAGTAATCAATTTTAAGAATGGCAGTTAAAACGAGAAATGAAATAATTATTAAAATCACTGAGTAAATAATAAGTCCACAATTGATACACTTTCACCGCATGCTTTGTATTTTCGTACATTTACATATTAATATACTGTCGGTAAATTACTTCCATAACATTTCATTATGAAATGATACATACGCCTGTAGTCTATCATCTTTATTAACAGGACCTTGTAATATTGTAATGACTAAATGATTTTCACCTAAACGTAAAAGCGTTTTAGGAACATAGAGTCGAAGCTGTGGTCCTTGAATTTGATCAAACCGCCCAATATGATAGCCGTTAATTGATATTATCCCCTAGAAGATAAATAAAAAGTATTGGCCTACAACTCTCTATAATTAAACTATTAAACAAGCAGAGAACGGGTGAAAAAAGTCAGATTTTATAGAGTAAAATTGCAATTGAAAAAAATTTTGCAATAGTCTTAAATTAATTGAAAATTACTTTACCAAATCATTATCAAGTAAATCACAATCAAAAAACTATTGACTTAGTCTTACGAAAGACCCAATTAAATAAACGGCAAGTAGAAATGAACCCACCAATTGGATTATAGTGTTAATAACAAAGTGCATTCGTTCCCAGTTGTTGATCTGTGTAAAAGAATTTTAGTTTTCAAAATAAACCCTCTAAAGCAGAAGATCCATAAGCGAAGAAATATCATACACTATGTCTCGGCATCAATGTGAGTGACATAGTACATTCCGTTTCATGCAGTCTGAAGACAACAGTCTTCCTCCTATCCTGTACCTTTTCTTGCTATTCCTTAAATTTTCAGTATTTTCAGTCTCTTATTGATGCGATCGATAATTTTACTAATGCTAATTCTTTTTCCCTTTTCTTAGTCTCATTTTTGCTTTTGATATAAGGATATTTGAACCAAATAACCGTTGATTCAAAGCCTATATTTCTCTCCTATTTACAGAGTAATGCATCGTTTTCTAGCGTAAAGTTAAAATACATGATCATCAAAAGCATGAAGATTAAGAAGTTTATAACAAATATCATTTATCATTAGGCGAAAAGTGAGATAAACAAAATTGTGATAAAGATTGAAGAGTTTAATGAAAGGGATATATACATTGGTTGATGCTTGTTTACATTGATGAAAGTGACTATGCGTTTTTTTGTCTTGACTTTACCTGAACATACGTTTACTTCTTTGCCTATGAATGACTTAAATTAGGAGGAAGTTAAAGCTTAGTTATATCGAGATACGTTGCTTATTTATGCAATCATCAAGAGTTGATGCACGTTGTGATTGTAAAATAAGAGTTCTAGCGTAAAGATATTTGGTTCGCGAAAATCAACATTTGAGAATGTTATATCAAACACCAAAAATATTTCAAAGTATTTGCATTTTCTGGTTTTTTTTCCTATTTTAAAGTCCTGTTCTGCCCTTCAGTCACCCTTTTCTTCAAGTCACTTCCTCTTTTTCTTAAACTTTTTTTCCAGTTCGTTTCACTTATTTTATTAGATATGGTGAGGTGGAGAGGATAAAGTAATTACCAAGAAGCATTTCGGTGGACCTCAATCAAAAGTATAAGTTTTCACTTTATCTGACAGCTATGATACTATGCTTAAATATATGTTCATCCGTAGATAAGCTGATGCGTACATGCATATAACAAACACCATATTTATTCTTCTGTTTTCTATTACGCCATTGGACAAACTGATGATGACGAAGAATTTGGAGCTTTCACATTCTGTCGAACAAATTGGAAAGAATCAATACAATTTCTTTACCCCAGGTGTCAAAATTATCATTCTTCATTCACTCCCGATTGAACAGAAAGGGAGAAATTCCTTTTTGTGACCCTGTATATATATAAATATATAGGCTCGACAAATTGAGAGGACGTTACTGAAGATCATTTGATGTTGACAAAGGGCCCTATTATGAGACAGCATGTCCAAAAGTAGATGACTGGGAAATTTACTAATTAAAATAAACAGTACAGGACTAGATTAGATAACAACAACTGTGAGATTACACTAATAAGTTATATGGATACTGTTTCCGTACCCTATCTTGTCTTTTAGTGGTGAACACATTTTCATTTCATATTCTCCATAGTGTGATACTATCCATTCAGAAACAATAGAGATGACAGAATTGATTATAAGCCTGACTATGAAACTTGAGAATAAATTTAGGTTTGTGGAATAATAATAATGATAGTAAAAGCTTGTAAAAAAGAGAAATGGCAATGTCACGGAAGCTTCAAAAATGTCCTCCTTCCTTGAAGCTCAGTTGTATTACACAGGCTTCATTGAGAAGGGCCACGTACATGTAAGACGAAAAAAGCAAAATCAAAGCAATACTTTTTGTAATAAAGAAGTGCAATTTTGCTGAGTTGCATACTTATTAGACTTCTGTTGTGATAATTATTAATGATTGAAGGTTAAGTGGAAATCTGAATTACGACACGATTCAAACCATTACAAAAATAATTTTTAATCAAACATTATTTCGACATTTATTTTTACAGTAAATAAACCAAGCTCTGCGTTCAAATTCTTTCTTGAAATTCGTAACAAATATGGTAGAGATATTTGTCGTTTTCAATATTATCTATTATGAAGATTCGTGCAGATGTACAAACTTCTATTGATGTGAGGATTCATACCTTATTTTCTTTTATTTGATGCCTCTGACATAAACTAACCAGACAACTGTCATAAGTTAAGGAACACCTTCCAAATTATTTTCATGAATCTGCCATTCAGTTGAGCTTCTATACCTGTTTATAAAATCTACAGAGAAGTTCGTCATAATCCTGATCACATACGAAAATACACAGAAGCATGCAGATAGATTCTTTGAGCCTTCCTAATAATGGTTTACTCTATAATTAAACACAAGCTATTATTATTATTATTTTTCCTTTGGATTCCTAGTGCAACATAGGGCTTCAGCAGCACGCCTCCATTCCACTATGTTCTCTGTAGTCTTTTGAACCTCGCTCCACGACTGCCCACAACCTTTCATTTCTTCCTCACACGATCCCCTCCATGTCACCCTCACCTCGGACGCCCACCTCGTTTCCCCTTTGGATTCCACTCAAGGACCTGGCGCGTGATATCCCAATCGGCCTTCTCAGTGTATGCCTGATCCAATTCAATCCATCCCCACTTTCTTCTGCATATTTGTTGGGTGATGGATTCTTGGTTGGTTCGTTGCCAGCCAGAGTTCTTTGTTGCTTGTTCATAGTATTCTGATCATCTGATCTTTATTATCGAGCGTAGGTAGCTGTTGATCAATGTCTGCAGTTTGTTGGAAATGCTTTTCGTGACGCGCCAAGCTTCTGAACCATATAGCAGCACTGATTTCACTGAATTGGTGTTGAAAATCTGGATTTTGTTCTTTGTGCTGAGTGCAGTAAATCTGCACACTGATCACAGATCAATGAAGGCCTCTCTTGCTTTTCCGATCCTGGCTGCTTTGACATCCTCGTCTGTGCCGCCACCTGTGGTTGAGACGATGCTGCTCAGACAGGTAGGTGAAACAGACTACTGCCTTTAGGTTTCTCCTGTTGATGGTGATTGGTGCTCGTTTTTGGTTGGGTGTCTTCATCACCTCCGTCTTCTCTACATTCACTCGAAGTCCCGTTTTCGCTGCCCTGCCTCTTCTGTCAACTTGTTAGTTTTCACCCGTAGATCTTCGAGTTTGTGAGACACTAGACATAAATCATCATCGTTGGCAAAATCCAAATCTTCTAGAGTCTTTTCATGGGTCCAGCCAGCGTATGCTCATCTACTTGCTCCTCACAGTTTTGCTACATGATCCAGTCCACCACAATCAGGAAGATCATGGGCGATAGTAGACAGCCTTGTCTTACTCCTGTCTTCACTTCAAAGGCGTTACTGAACTTTGCATTGTAGATTACTTGGCATGTGACGTCTTCATATAGTTGTTGAATGAGATTGATAGAAATTTGTGGTATTTCGTAGTGTTGGAGCAATTGCCAAATTAATTCCCAGTCGACGCTGTCAAAGGTCTTTTCAAAGTCGATGAAGTTGAGGTAAAGATTCAGTTGACTGCCATTCTCTACTCTGTTCTATGATGATGCGTAGTGTTGCAACTTGATCCACACAACATTTTCTGGTTTGGTAAAAGCTTTTTTTCAGCTTTCGATTGTATTCACCTAAATAAGTACCATCGCATTAACACATACACATTTACGAAATCTTTGTAGGCCTTTAGAAAATATATGAATTTTATTAAAACATCGATTTGACTACAGCATGCGTTCAACAATAGGCAGTAGTACATAGCTTAGTTTTTTACTTGATAATCTCCAATAAGCAGTTTGTAGTATCATAGTGTATTGAAAAACCGTTCGGTTGAAGAACAATATGCTACTTTGTTATAAGATAGTTTTTTTTCACTTAAGTATCTCTTATCTCTATTATGCATCTATGATCTGGTTTCAACAGAAAACACCACATGTCTCGAGTTGTTTCAAGAGCACTTTCCTTCAAGCACAACAGTATGAAGCAGAGAGTTAATACCACTGCGGGCAGAAGTGAATTAAATAATTGACAGTTCACTCATTTTTGACCAGCAAACAAGCCATTGTGACTAGAAGCATCAGACTCTTCACGAAAGCAAAGTCAAGTAAAAGTACTGCAGGGATGAGAAGAAACAAACATGAATTCAGAGAAACAAGTCATTATCGCTTTTAATGAATATTTACACAGTGTGTTTAAATATTCATTACCAATATATTAATAATAAAATGTAGCTGTATGTCATATTCTAAAAGCATTCATCATGGAAGTAAATCACCAAATACGG